AATGGAAGTGTAACTGATGTGATTCAGCAATCTGTATACGGGGTAAAAATGGGAGTTCATAACCCACTTGAATCAAACTGTGAAATATGATATATCAAGAACTATGTAATGTTTTGAACGACCAACAATAAAAAAAGAAAAAAAAATTTCATAAGGGAAAAAAAAAAAGATACAGGTTTTGTTTCCATCCTAGAAGTGGGAGGTTGGGTCTTAGCTAGTTCTATTTTTAGTTTTTGGAGGAACCTCCATTCTTCATAATGCCTATACTAATTTACATTCCCACTAATGTGTGCAAAGTTTCTCTTTTCTCTATATCCTCACCAGAACTTGTCTTTTGTCTTTTTGCTAATAGCTCTTCTAGCAGATGTAAGGAGATATCTCATTTTGGTTATAATTTACATTTCTCTGATAGGTGATGGTGTTGAACACTTTCTTAAATACCTGTTAGTTGTATGAGTTCCTTCAGTATTTTGGGTATTAACTCCTTATCAGATGGATCTTAATCATTTCAGAGTTATATCCATACAGTTAAAAAAAAAGTAGAAAAGAAAGAGAAAAAACACTTAATGTACTGATGTGGAACAATTTTAATTTATAGCAAAAGAAAAAAAGCAAGGATCAGAACTGTGTGCATCACTGTCATTTGTACATAAAATGTGAAAAGGTAATACATGAAATATCTGAAAGGATACACAAGAAAGGGGAAACTTTGAAGCTGAATAACTGGTGCCTGCTAAAGGCAGGAGCCTGCATTTCCATGCTTGCACCACACCCACCACTTCTTCTGCCCCTGACTCATTTAGTATCATTCAGCAAATATCAAATTTTTAAATTAACTACCTGCCACACCTCTATGAAATGTTTTCTTTGTTTATTGGCCATCATGTTTTCATATGATAGTGATTTAACAAAAATAATTCTATTTGATTTTTAGCATGATTGAATTTTTAATGTTGATGCATGGATTATATAAAATATGCAACATCACACATAGATGTATTTCTGGTGCTCTGCTGCAATTGATTAACTTACAGATCAGGAATTCTTCATTTTATTTCAAGAAGTTCCCTTCATTGTATAGCACATTTATAATTATACATGCCACATTGTTAAGTATATTCATGAAGAAATAACTTTCATTTTCCTGGGTATATTAAAAGGATCCTATTATGGTTTTCCTTTCAGTTAGTCAGTGTGCTTAATATTAATTAATTTTTCAGTACAAAACCAATTATATTTTCCTGTGAAAAACTCTACTGTGTCATGATGTATTTTTTTAATTTTATGATTTTTATTATAATAATTCACACATTAATTCACTGTAATTAATTTCCATACATTATGTATTTTTTTACATTTTGATGGACTCAGTTTAGTAAAATTTTCCTAGGGTTTTTCTAGCTATCTTCATGGGGCCATTGGTATATATTTTTCTTCTTCTTCTTTTTTTTTTTTTTTTTTTTTGTAATGTCTTTGCCTGGTTTTGGTATGAAAGGGATGTTGTCCTGATACAAAGAACTGGAAAATTTCCTTCCTTGTCCATTTTCTGGGAGAGTTTTATAGATTTGGTATTATTTCTTCTTTAAGTATTTGATAGAATTCACCAGTGAATCCATATAGACCTGGATTTTCTTTGTGGGAAAATTATTAACTAAAATTTTAATTTCTTTGATAATAGGACTATTCTGTTTCTTTTTGAGTGAGCATGATAGAGAGTTATCCACTTCATTCATCTGTTCTAAATTTATGCTGCAAAAATTTTCATAATATTTCCTAATTATTCTTTGGATACAGAAAAATATTTTTTTCAAATTTTTGTTCACTTGTTTATTTATTTATTTTTTGTATGTGGTGCTGAGGATCGAACCCAGGGTCTTGCACGTGCGAGGTGAGTGCTCTACCACTGAGCCACAACCCCAGCCCCCAGAAAAATATTTTTAAATGTAAATCTGCTCATGCCTTAACCCTGCTATACTCACTCTTCCAGTATTACTTAGATTAAAAGTCAGATTACCATTGAGCATAGTGACACACCTGTGATCCCAGCACGTTGGAAGACTAAGGCAGAAGTATCACAAGTTTGAGGCCAGCCCAGGCAACTTATTGAGAACCTGTCTCAAAATTTGAAAAGGGCTTGTGATGTAGCTCAGTGGTATAGCCCCACTGAATGCAATCCATACATTAAATATAGAAAAGAAGAACCAAGAATTGGACTCTCTTCTATTGCTTTAGGAGCCATGTACTTTCTTTTCTTTTCTTTTCTTTTTTTTTTTTTTCATGTTCTTTATTTCTTGAGAGCCTTTGCTTAGTGTTGTCTTCCCTCAGATTATCTGTCTTGTGCCTTGCTTGGTGGCTTTCATATGGTAAATGCTCAAAAAATAATTGATGGCCTAAAGAAAATGCAAGAGAAGCTATAATGCCAAATAGAGTGAATGAGCGTGTAGTCATAGGCATCATCATTTACTTGATGATGATGAAATAATGGCTCAGAACATTAAGGGGGTTTTCTTAAGTCCTTATGGTTAGTAAGGGAAAAAACTCAAACTTATTCCCAGAGAGAGGGAGAAAAATTTATTTCATAGCTGTTCTATTATCTAGTACTCATTGGTTTTTATATATCCTGACATTGTAGATGTTGCATCTAAATTATGTAGTTGTTATCTTTACTATCTTCTTAATGTTAAATCAGTTTTTAATTTTAATAATAATAGATACAATTTATTGAGCTCTTACTGTGTGCCACATATTGGTATAAGTGGTTGTTTATTCACTATCTCTGATGCCACCTACTTTATAGAGCTATTATAATACTAATTAAAACTACATATATACAGAATATCCTAGACCAGGTCATTTGTGTATTTTTTTTATTCAACATTATTATTTTCTTTCATCTGTTCTTTCAGTGATCATATATTTATTGAACACTAGCCATCTATGTGGCCTTGAGCAAGTTATTTAACCTCTTGGTACCTTGTTACTATCTCGTTCAAAGTGTAATTAATTAAGTTAGTGGATGTAAAGCCCTTAAATACTGCATGCAGTAACTTACTGCACTTAAAAAATGTTAGCTTTTAGTAGTTTCTAGCCATATGAGGAAGTCTGTAGAACTTCACCACAGTACAAAACATTTGAATATGGGGTAGAACACACTCCTAGATTATACCCAGTGATATAAAATATTAAATCTTTTTAAAATAATGTATAAATAAATGAAATTTTAATAAGAATCCCAAAGAGATTTTTAAAAATGAGTGAAGCTAATCCTAAAGTTTATGAGACCAGCCTTGAAAATTTAGAAAGAGAAAAATAAAGAAAAGGGGGTTGCCCTACCAGTTACTGAGACATTACAAACACAGTGTAGTAATTAAGACAGGATGGTACTGGCAGAGGAGAAAAGCAAAAATAAACAGGATTATTTGGAATCAGAATTAGCAAGCTGACACCAAAATTTTTGTATTGGCTCAAAAGACATTTCAAATCAATGCAAAGAGTTATATAATAAATGATCTTGGGGCACTTGGCTAGCTACTAGGAAAGAAGTTGGATTGCTACTTTGCATTTTATACTTAAAAATATTCCAAACTTATTGAAAATTTATATTTATAAAACATGAAGCAGTGCCACCCACATCCATCTTAGTTGCACAACCCCTGTGCTAGTATACCCTTCCCCTCTTCCATCTCCCTTAGCTAAGAGTACATAACTGTATTTGAGGAAGTTTTTACCTATTTGACAAAAATGACAGTAGTACCATCACAAAAAGGAATTTGGAACTTGGAGCAATTCCAGCACTAGGTTAGAATGCAACAAAAGCAAACTGACAGTATGGCTATATGTTGGTTTACAAATTTGAATTGCTAATATTTATGTAGCACATATTATGTTGCAGGCAATGTTGAATTAATTCATTTGGTCATTACACAAAGTAGTATGACTATTATCTCCATTTCATAGATGAAGAAATAGGACACAGAGGTTAAATAACTTGTCAAAGTTCACATAGTTCGTAAGTGGGGAAGCCAGGACTCCAAACCAGGCACTCTGGCTCTAGTCTTTGCTGGGGATTGAACTTGATTCCTGAGTTACATCCCCAGCATCTTTTTAAATTTTTGACATAGAGTCTCACTAAGTTGCTGAAGCTGGCCTCATAGTTGTGATCCTCCTGCTTCCATCCCCGAAATCACTAACACTGCCTATGAGGCCATTATAGGGGATTACAAGTGTGTGCCATGGTGCCCAGCTTTGTTTTGGTTTGTTTTTTTTTTTTTTTTTTTGTCTGTTTGTTTGTTTTGTTTTGTTTTGTTTTGTTTTATGGTGCTAGGGATTAAACCCAGGGTTTTGTGCATGCAAGGCAAGCACTCTACCAACTGAGGTATATCCTCAGCCCTTTTTTAAAAAAAATTTTTTTGGCTGTAGATGAACATAATAGCTTTATTTTATTTGTTTATTTTTTTAAGTGGTGCCAGGGATCAAACCCAGTGCCTCATGCATGCTAGGCAAGTGCTTTACCACTGAGCCATAACCCCGCCCCCCCCCCAGCTCCTTTTTTTGAGATAGGTTCTTACCATATTGCCCAGGTTAGTCAAGAACTCCTGGACTCTAGTGATCCACCAACCTTAGCCTTCCACAAGCATGCTCTACTACACCTGGCTTAGAATCTATGCATCTTGCTGTGCTGCCTAACCAGGAAACTGAAAGATATGAACAGTTGAGAAAAAAATCAGTGAAGTTTGTCTGTGGTTATTTATATCAGTGCACTCAAGTAAGGTGGAGAAAACCTAACAAGAAGAAATCAATAAATTGAATGGAGAAATAGATAGTGATAGCAATGGACTAGTAACTGTGAAGATGAACCAGACAATTGCTAGATGAAAACCCCATTTCACTGTCGTTTTCCAATGCACATGTGTTAGATTGAATCTTTTTAAAAAGATAATTTATTTATTCAATTTCTCTATATCAGAAGTATGTCAAAAATACTTTCTGAATACACACAAGAAAAATATGTATTAGTTTGTGTCCTTCAAAGATAATACATCAGTTTGCAGCATAAGTACTTGTGATAATGACAAGTCAACACAGAGTATTCCTTAATGCTCTCTTTGTGTGGGATAGTAACCCTGATTTGACTGGCCTGTTTGTTTAGTTTTCATGCAGCTTAATAAATGAGCCAGTCAAACCTTGAAGGGTCTTATAGACAGTATTAGTGATTTCAGACTTTATCCAAATGACAGTGGGAAGCCACTCAAGGGTGTTTAAAAAGGATGAGATTTGAAGATATATCTCTATGGTTTCCTGAAGAATGGATTCCAAGGGGACAAGAGCCGACAGACCTGTTAGGATGCTGTTGTAGGAAACCTGGGAAGTGATGGTCACTAATGGAGAGAGAAGGGCAAATTTGAGATGCATTTTGGAAGCTAACTTGGCAGAACTTATTGGTAAGCTGGATGTGAAGGACAGGGAGAAACCAAGAATGACTCTCAGTGTTTGGGTTTAAGCACTTGGTTTGTGTTTAGTGATTCCAGTTAGTGTATTGAGGAATAGGGAGAATTTACTTGAAATAGTTGGAGAAAAAGCAGGAACAGAATTTTCTGAGTGGTTATTCCCAGACTTAAGGTAGAAAGGATATTAAAAATTAAAGTGTAGGTATAAAATTGCAGGATTTGTAGAGCACAGTGTGAAGAGAAATTGACCTTTCCTTTCTAGTCTGCATCTTCTTACAGGAGTTTGATTAATCTAAGGTCTTTGTCTCTTTCCTAGGTAACCCGGGTTTTTCTTCTTTTTATGTGCCATTTGCAAAAGCTTTGTACTCTTTGACAAACAGATGCTTTCCAGTTTGGACTATCAGTCATGCTGGGCATGCCTTGGCCCCCAAAGACACGAAGATTCTTACAACATCAGAAGGTATGTCCTTGTTAACATTTAGTTTCCTTTACAGTGTGAATGAGTATTCTTGTTTCTAGAAAGCCGCTAAGATTAAGAGTTTTACCAACGATTTCATCCCCTACATTTTGCGTCACTATATGTAACAGGTGACTTTGATGTGCCTTAATCAGATTACAAGTGTATGAGCAAAATAAATGTTGTTATTGTTTTATTAAATTACTATGTTGTGGGAATGGTTTTTTAATAACACAACAGATAACCAAGTCAGACCAAAAAATTTATTGATAAACTTCTGTATTTGTTTTTTTAGTTATATAATTAAGATTAATTTAACCTAACAGTCTTACAAAAGAGAGAACTGACTTTTAAAGTAATAAATAATTGCTACACCCCCTCCCCCCAAAAAAGTTTTACCAATGAGAACCCCTGTGTAAGCCACATTTTGGTAATTTTAGGATTTTTAGAGACACTTTAAATCTTATGCAGGAATTCTCTGTAAGAATTTGGGTAGATCAAATAGTCTACATATGACTTTCCTTCTTTTTTTTTAATTCACTATATATTTATTGATCGCATATTTCCAAAGTTGTGATAGGAGGAGAAGTAGAGGAAAAATAAAAGGCATGGTCTCTAAAGAAGTGATCTCCCAGGCCAGGGAGTAAATATGATTACATGCTGAACATTTTTGAACAGCTTCTAAAGCTTGGTTTATTAATCTATTGTTAGTTTGGGTAAGTGTTTCAGATCCTATAAACAGTATCAATTCATCTAGTTAAATATGGTTCTTAACTTTTTTAATCATATTTTTGTATTAAAAAGTTATATGTGCTTATTATTTAAAAATTTAAGCAATTCAAAACTAAACAAGGAAGTAAAACAAATAGTTTTCCTTAATATAAAGGTTGGAAAAAGAATGCTGTAGCTTTATAATTTTTTTTTTAATTATGTTTAAATTTTCTCAACCTCAAATCAAACAAGCATTAGCAGCATGGCAGAGAAATGAGATTTCCCAGTGCCTTTAACACTTTCTCTACAGTAGCTGAGGAGTTTTTTCCAGGCTGAAATAAGTATCTTAAGAATTGTCTAATAAGTGAATTTTAATGCTTTCTTCCCTATGACAATGTCATGATAAAGTGTATATCTTAAGCCTTAATAAAATGGTTACATTTTTATTCTGAGGGTATTTTTCAAAATTTATTTACTTTGTATTACCTGTCCAAATAATAAGTGGGCATATATTATGTACCAAGAAAACTTTCAGTGTCGAATGATTGTCTCTGACATGTAAAACTTGGAATTTGTCACTTTCATCCTCACAATAAGAGAAAAGCTTAAAAAAATGAAATCCAGTGATTTTTCTTAGATCTGGCAGAGAATTGAGGTCACAGGACAAATTCCAACCTGGAATTTGGAGAGAAGAGAATACCTGAAGTGGAGGATCAGAGAGCCATAATCTGATAGAATATGCAATAGTGATTTTGATGAATTATTGGAGGTGAACGTGAGAAACTCCCATAGGGCTCTTCTTGCGCACCCACCCACATTTTCCTGGGTGTTACCTCCAGAAACTCCATTAGATTATTTTTTGAGTATCTGAGGAAGATTTCTGCAAAGTTTTTGACCCATGGAGAAAAATTTTGCAGGATGCCCAGAGCATTCTCAACAACAAAGGCTTCCCTTTTGCCAGACCCTTATCTAACCTGAGGAAGGACACTTAGCCAGTGTTCCTGAGGAAGGCTTTCTCTATCCTGGAGGTGGGGGAAAAGGTGACAGGCTCTTTGGAAGATCATAGTACAGGTTTTCAGGCCCACGTAGAGACTGAGCTTTAATTATAGGTTATAAGATACTTTTCTCTTCCATATTTTATCACTACCTCAACAGACCTCTGTTGAAAGAGAAATTGATAATGAAAGTGTATTGCAACTACAAAAGTCACAAGACACAGAATTTGTTTAAGGAGGAGTTCTTAGGGAAAGCCAGTGATGACAAAGGATAGAAAACAGGAACTTAGAGGAAACTGAAGTCTCTGGCATCTACAAGTACAGTAAACATTAAATACAACCCAACTTCTAGCCATTAATTAATTAACAAAGCCTCACATAAAAAAAATCTTTTTAACTTAGTTCCTGTTACCTAATACATCATGTCTGGTTTTAAACAACAACAACAAAAATTACAAGGCATTGTAAAAGTCAAGATAAACCAGTCTGACTAAATAAAGAAAGCATGGAGCTAAACTCAGGTCTGTGCTTATTACCAATTTTGAAATTATCACAAAATTTAAAATAACTACTGTTAATAGAGTATAGGACTCTAGTGGAAAGAATAGCATGTTAGAAATAATGGCTAAAGCAAGCCAGGGTTGGAGACTCATAAGAAATTTCCAAAAAAAATACTAAGAAATACTGCAATAAAGAAAGAAAGATTTTACAAAGAGATCACCAGTAGACTAGATGTATCTGCGGAAAGAATAAGTGAGTCTGAAAATAGGTCAATAGAAACTTCCCAAGCTGAAATGTAAAGAAAAAATTTTTAATTGTACCTATCAATTGATATAGAAAACACAGTTAAAAAAATACTTATTATTTTTTAAAAATCTCAGAAACTAATTATAGAGGGAAACTTACTCAAATTGATAAAGAATATTTGTAAAAACTATCATATTTTAAAAATTCCAATTAGTTATACATGACAGTAGAATGCATTTTGACATATTGTACACAAATGGATAACATTATACTTTATGGTAAGAAACCAAATGCTTCCTCCTAAGATCGGGAACAAGACAAGATGTCCCTTCCCACCACTCATATTCATCACTGGGTTGCAATTCCTAGCTAATGTAGTAAGACAAAAAAGGGAATTAAAAGATAAGCAGATTGGGGAAAAAGAAATAAAACTTTGAATTTGCAGAAGATATGACTTTCTGTGTAGGAAATCCCTAAGAGTCCACAACAACAACAGAAAACTCTTGGTTGTTGCCATATCAAGGATGCAAGGTTAATATATAAAAATCAGTTGCTTTTCTATTTAGCAGCAATGAAAAATTAGAATTTAAAATTAGCAACACTCTCCATTAGAATCAGGACATGTTTTGTTTTGTTTTAGGGCATATTTTGAAAGGTGAATGAATAGTGATTATCTAACTTGATTTTTAACAGAATAAAGAAACTGAATATACAAATTGCAGCCTTGATTTAAAAGTTCTCTTTCATGGCTGGGAATATAGCTCTGTTGGTAAAGTGCTTGCCTCTACCAAAGTTCTCTTTCAAACGTAACTGAAAGTGAATAAAATGTAACATGTACTTATTCTGCTATGAAATATTTTCAAATATATGTTTATATATGCCCCAAATTGGGGCTTTATTATCATACATAGCTCTTCCTTTATCAGGAAATTCTGATCTGTTTATAATATGTTTTTTGTAGTCTTGTATTTAGAAAATAGCTATTGAGAGAATTTTTCTGGAAGGGAAGTGGGGGAAAGGAGGAGGAAAAGGTTAGGGGAGGTATTAGTTAGTGAAATTGATCAAATTATGTTATATTCATGTACCAATATACCACAATGAAGCCCACCGATTTGTATAATTAATATGCACCAACAAAAAAATTTCTTCAGTGGTAGAGTTCTTGCCTAGCATCTGAGGCCTTTGTTTGGATCCCTAGCACTAGAGGAAAAAAAAGAAGAATTTTTCCTAGAAAACAGGTTTATTTGATGTGCCAATCTTCAAAAATCTACCAGGTGTTCTGGCCTATTTTCTGAACTAGTCAAGAAAAGAGATAATCCAAAGACTGGGAAGTAGGAAGAAGTGGGAATACTACAAGGTACTGGGAAGGGTTTATTCCTATCCTTTTGCTGTGTCAACTTTTTAATGGTGAGTGGTGAGTATGTCTTATTCCTACAGTTTTACTTTGGTGAGAAAGGCCATGCATTGGAGAGAAAATTTATGTATCAAATTCCTTAATCAGAGCAACAGCCAATCACATTTACCATTAGAACTCATGCTAAAGACAGAATGCAAACATTTGAACAAAACATGAATAGCAGTTTTGAAAGTCTAAACAGACTGGAAGGATTGCCATAGATCAAGGGTTCTGAAACTTTGGCATGCATCAGAATTACCTAGAGGATCTATTAAGACATAAATGGCCACCCCCAAGGGTGTTGATTCAATAGATCTGTGGGAATCTAAGAATTTGTATTTCCAAGTAATACGGATGCTGCTAATCCTGGGACCACGCTTTCAGAATCATTGACCTCTGTCTGCCCCATTGGATACTGATGAACAAAACCAATAGAAACTGTGTGTTGTATGTTTTCATTTCTAGGACATGTCTTTAATTCTTGTTCTAAATCAACATCTTATTTGCATCTTCGAGTATGCTTATTGCTGTTTGGGCTGCTCTGTTAATAACTTAGTAATTGGAGCCTGGGTTCTTTGCTATTTCATGAGAACAGTGCCATCTAGAGGCATTAGCCCAGAGGGCCACCATGGGCCAAAGGAGGCTGTGGTGTCTAGAGAGGGTGAAAAGACAATTCGTTACCATGAAGAATTTATTGACAGCCAACTAGATTATTATGTGTGGTATTGCAGGGGAATAGAAGGAGATGACATGCCAGTCTTTACTTTTAGGACAGTGATTCTGGGTAGCTCAAAAGTTCTGTGAAGGCTGAGCCTGGGCCTTACCAATGCCCATTTGAGCAGAACAGTTGTGCTTTCACCTGTTTTACATGTTGAACGTTGTGGTTGAAAGTGTATGCTCTAGAAGGTTGCTTTGTGTTGACAGGACAGATATATTATATTCGCCATCCAAGATTATTGTCCTAAGGTACAAGTTTTCTGACACCCAAAGTACGGTGTGAAAAATATGTATTGAGAGAAAGCCATAATGACACATCAGATGGCAACAGTATGTTTTGCTTCATATTAGCACGTGTTAAAATTATGCACAGTTGGAAATAATATTCTAGTTGCACCACATTATCATAGTCACAAATTGACTATAATTGAGAGAACAGATGTTCACCAATGTCAGAAGGGATGATTCAAAAAGAAAAAAGTGAAAAGAAAATTTGAGGAATTAGAAGTATAACTGTTTTTTTGGCTTTAATTTACTAGAATCATTACCAACAATTTTAAGTTATTTGTTCAAGAAGTACAAAATAGAAGTTAGAAATCATACTGGTTCAGTTTAACAGATTAAAAACATTACCTAAAAATATCTCAAAAAATCTTGTAATTAGTGATGAATTTGAATAATGCATTATCTAAAATGTTATCAACTACTGCCACTACAGTCTCCCAAATGGAAAGAAAGAGAGAAAAACCTGTAGAGCTTTCTTTCTTGCTGGGACTAGACAAGCAGAGACATGAGGAAAGATGGACTGACTAGATGAGCCCTAAGCAGGAATAGTCAGTCAGTCCAGTCTCAGGGCTCACAGTCAGTAGGAATGAAAGCAGGTCTCTGGGTGGAAAGAAGTAGCAAAACTAAGAGACAGGACAAGGGAAGAAGTCAAAATCAAGTGCAGTGTTAGAGTCTCAGGACAGAGGGAAGGACTAGGGAGTGTCACTGTGGCAGTTCTGTCCAATATCACCGACTAGACCATGCTGCTGCAGGCTCACAGTCCTTAGAGGTCTTCTCACTGCTCAGAAAATGAGAGCAGACTCCTTGGTGTGATCGGTATGATCGTTCATGCCCTTCTTGATTAGTCACAGTCTTCCTTTTTGTTCCACCTCTCCCAGTAACCACAGATAGCCCCAGAACTCATGGCTGTTTCTGAAATCTCATCTCACACTTCTGTGCTTCTTGCTCTGTTTCCTAAGTCTATAACAGTATGTTCGTGCTGAATCTCTCTCCTGTTTCCCACACTTCTAGCAGATCACTGGTGTTAGTCAAGTGGAAAGCGTAATTTGAGGACCCTTGATTTCACCATCTGTTTAGAAAATAATAATTTAAAAATATTTTTGAGATGTATGCTTGGAATTTACAGCTTTTTATTATTAAGATAGCAGTTTTAAATAGAGTGCCTATCTACATCCTCTCCACATGTTGCATACCTTCAGAATTAGGAGCCGCACCCATGTTTTGATACAAGGAACTTACAGAATATTTAGGGTACCTAGAACAGATGAGCCTAAGGTATGAGTAAACTTTCATATCAGCTTAGCAAACTTGAGTCAGTTGTGAAAAGAAGGCCTTTCAGATCTGTGAAGTAAGTAAGCATAAAGAATTAGGGACCATGGTTCTCATCCAGCTGCTTCCTTGGTGTTTCCCATGAACACAGAGCATCCTTTGGTGATTCTGTGCCCCATTTGAATAATAAAGAAGTGAAGGATAGTTTTCCCTATACATTAGAGGTCAGATACCTGGGAACAGTATATTTAAGCATTGTTTTAATATTTTGAGAAATTTTTAAAAACATAAAAGTTTAATAGTTTCTACAATTATATAACAGTTCAAGTTTTTTTTACTCACAATTGACAGATAACACTGCCATATACTTTGATATTTTTATCAATAAAAATAAATGAAGTAAAATAATACATTAAAAGGTTTTGTCTTCTTTGTAGATAATTTCCAGTTCTGCTATCATAAATTTAGAGTAAATACATAATGGTTCTTTTTATATTCTTCATTATTTAGGTAAGATGAACAATACATGGTATGGTTTTGTGTCTTATAAAGAACTTACCTAAGAAATAAACTGAATACTCCTCTTGCTCAAAGCATTTTTTCAATATGAAGTTCTGTCGTTAGCCTTTTTAATTCTACATATAAGTTGTTTGATTACAATTATTGTTAAGATATAGCTTTGTAGAACAGAAAGGAAGAGTTCAGTAGTTAAGAAAATTATTGTGTGAGATGTAGAGAGTTATGGTCTACAGATCCAGTCTTAGCAAAAGGCTCAGGTAGTGCTGTAATCATATCAGTACTGTGGTCATGGAAGACCTTAAATGCTATATGAAAATATATAGTTAAAATTATGTATTTGTGTTCAGTGTGTAGCTAGACATGTATATATGTGTGTGTATGTATATATAATTAAATATGTAGTTAAATTTAGACTGTTCTGCTTGCATTCAAATTATAATTAAATTTGTACATTTATAGTAATGAGCATGTAACAAAGAATGTTGTCTAGTATTTATCTTAGGTAACTTAACGGTGCCTTACTTTTTATGAATCCAAAAGAGGATTACCTTTTATCATGATCCATTAAAACCCTATTCTTTTCCCAAATGCTTTAGATAATTTCTTGAGGTTTTTATAATTGTGTTTTTATGTATATTTCTTCTTCTTGGACTGTGATCTTCTCGAAGGCAGGGATAGTTTTTCATTACATCTTGAAGAATCTGAAAAATAGTTCATTTGTGACAGAAAAGAAAATTAGTTCAAGCAAGTCAAAAGATGTACTGGTTAAAAGAAACAATTTACAACATTCCTACCTGGTCTTTCGAGTCTGAGTTCTTTAAACAAAGATTATCTAAAATATTAAGGCGGTGTAGGACTTTCTTGGTTGTCTATTAGTAATAAAAACTAACCTAAACTGGAGATTCTCAATGTGTGGTCCTGAAATCAGCACATCAGCACCTCCTAGAAACTTAGAGATGCAAATTCTTGGGCCCAAACCCAGACCTACTGACTCAGAAACTCTGGTGGTAGGACCCAGCAATCTGTTTTACAAGACCCTTCAGGGAATTCTGATGCATGCATGCTCAAGTTTAAGAATCACTTACCTAAACTACAGTAGTTTATGGAATAGTTGAAAGATCATGGGCTTTGAGGACAAAAAGACCCAAATTGGAATCTCACCTCTTCTACTTAGTCTGTGACTATCCCTCTGTTACATGATACCTACAGTGTTGAGATTTTCATCTGGAAAATGAAAATGATAATATTTCCCTCTCAAGATTGTTGTGAGGATTGATTGATATTATTTAATTACCTAATACACTGTAGCCTTTTGATAAATGATCAGTATTTTTTTAAGATTTTTCCAGTTTCGTATGTTTACTTATTGAATGAAAGCATGTTCCTGTTTTTGCTTTTAGATGCAAATGCTCAAGAAATTAAGGACATCTATGGACTACATGGTCAGATAGAACACAAACTAGCTTTCCTGAGAACCCATGTGCCAAAGGAAATAAAGCTAATGCTCATTGGCCATTCAATAGGCAGCTACATTGCTCTTCAGATCTTGAAGCGTGCCCCTGAGCTTCCAGTAAGTATGCCTTAGGAGGAGACAGTCCACACCTTATTGTGCACTGTATACATTCTCCTCAGCACTTTGTCTCTTGGTTAATGGAGAGAGGGATACTTGATGGCTTCCTTCATCTTCACTTCCCATTACTGTGGGCCTAGGTAAGTATATGTTCATGAAATTCCCATAGTTTAAAAAAAAAATAATGGAGGGAAATGGAATTTTCTCAATGAATGCCTTTGAATCTAGAGTTGTCTAGAATTCTGATGTTGCATTTAACTTGCTGTATTTCATAAAGGAATATTTAAAAGTAGTTACCATCCAAGAAATAGAAAGCTCTGTATTGGGAGGGTATTTTGCAAATATTCATGTCTCCTTTTAGAAGCAAAAAATGTATTATCCTCATTGATAGGTAAACAGCTGTCCTTATGGAACACTAGGTCTTTATTTAGTCACATCCACATCTTCTGTAGTTTGCCAGGTTTTTTTAATATTTATTTTTAAGTTGTAGTTGGAAAACAATACCTTTGTTTTATTTATTTATTTTTTATGTAGTGTTGAGGATCGAACCCAGGGCCTCGCACATGCTTAGGCAAGCGCTCTACCACTGAGCCACAACCCCAGCCCTTGCCAGGCTTTTTGAGACACACATTTGTTCTTTTATTCACACATATTTAATGTTACTGTGTATCAGATATTAAGTGAGGTACTGGAGACAGGAAGACATATTAAAAATGCCTAGGAAAGCAAAAGCACTACATAAGACTTAAAACAAAAACTGTACTTTCACTAAAATGTACCATTAAAATGACCATTGAATAGATGCAATCCATAAGATAACTTATTTCTTCATTCAATAAACTTATATTAAGCATCACCACGTGTCAGATACTGTGACATGTTTTGAAGACATCCCACTGAATAAGACAATTTGAGGAAAGAGAGCCTGGACAGTCATGGAGGACAAAGCCTAACCAACGCTCATGACAATTGCTGCCTTGTAGTGCTCTGTCCTAAGATTTTGACTTTTTCCCTTCTTTTCACTACATGTGATAAAATATCTCACATAATTAGTAGGTTCTTGGAGCTCACTATGCATTTGTTCCTTTTCCCACCAGCTTGACACACTCATTTATTCATCATTGCCTGGAAAAGGTATTAATTATAACCTCCCTGACTATGGTTTTTAATACTAAGTGGGTTTTTTTTTTTTTAATTTTCTCTTGTTGGGTATTAAAAAACATATTTTTCATCTCTAAATGTAAATTCAAGCTTGTACTTTATTTATTGTATTATTGCTCTGCTCTGTTCTCCGCCCCCCCCCCAACTCCCAGTTAAGGTGTTTTAAAATAAGAAAGCACTCTTTATTTCTGCTTTTATCATTTTGCTTGACTACTAACCTCTACTGTGCTTTTGAAATTTCCTCTAGTACTATATTGTGTGGGTACTATCTTCAGAGTGTCCAGGCCTTCCTCTTGGTGGTTCTGCTTTCGTAAGTGCTATGAGCTCTGTTCCTAGAGCAAGAACACCCAGGTTCAAATACTTGCTGTCATATTTTGTCTGTGTGACCTTAGACAAGTTATTGAGTCTCTAACTCAGTTTCCTTATCTGTAAAATGGGATAATAATATGTTCTTCAAAGGATTCTTGTGAAAATTATATAAAGTATTAGCAATGATAGCTGGAACTTAAAACTTTCAAATAGATCTTATCTGTTACTGTTATAGAAATGACACTAGAATCAACAGCTCAGTCAATAGGTTAACTACTGTATTGGTTACCTACTGCTATATGTCAAATTGCCCCAAACTTAGTAGTGTAAAACACATTTAGTCTCTCACAGTTTCTATTCAGAATTCTTACCACACTTAGCTGGATCCTCTGTTGCAGGGTCTCTCATAAGTTTGTAATTAAGTTGTCTTCCAGGGGTGCATTGTCTTCTGAAAACTTGAGATGAATCTTCTTCCAAGCTCACTCATGTGGTTTGCTGGCAAGACTCAGTTCCCTGAAAATTGCTGGACTGAGAATCTTGGTTCATCACTGGCAGTTGTGGGTGGAAGGGGGGAGCTACCCTCCTTAACTTTAGCCTCTCTAGCTTGCTTCATCTGTGTAAACCTGGGAGAAGAGACAGACAGACTCTGCTGGCAAGATAAAAGTCATAGTCTGTAACCTGTAACCTACAGAAGTGACATTATATCACTTTTGCTCTATTCTTTTTGTTAGAATCAAGTCACTAGGTGCAGCCACATGTAAGGAGAGGAAATTACACAAAGGCCTGCATTCCAGGATGGGAGGCACCTTGGAAGCCATGTCAGAAGCTGCCTATCCCACCACTGTACAATTAGGATTTCACTCGTGTGGTATATATAAATTGAAGTACTAAATTGATTTTCTACTAAAGGCAGTGACTTGGTCCTGCCAAATAAAATGCAGCAAACTGATATGAAATATAATTTTTGGTTATTAGTTGTTCAGATGTTTTTAAAGCTTTAAAAACATTTAAATTTTTAAAGTTTTTCTTTAATATTTAAAATAGTAACAATTTACCATTCTATAAATGTAAAGAAAAAAAATGCTCATTTCTGAGCTTATCAGAGTCTGTTAACTTAATGACAGGTCTGTGTTTTTTGTTTGCTTGCTCCAGATCCATTCTACATGTAATATTTGGTTTCTCTTGTGTACACTGAAAATGATTGTTTAACACATTCATTTTGAATCCTTCTCATTTGGGGGGTTGCCTTTTCAGTGTCTGTTGAGAAAGAAGTACAATAGTGCATCTTAAAGTTATATACATTATTATAGCTTCTTCAACTCCCTAACTTTATATTGTCTTATTTTCATGTATTTTGCCCATGCAAGAGTGGTAGTGAATGGGACTGTGGGTGTGGCTCAGTGGTAGAGCATTGTGCAAAGCCCTGGGTTCAATCCCCAGCACCAAAAATAAATAACTAAATATCAATTTTTAAAAAAGAATAATGGAGAAAAGGCAAAAAAAGATGAACCACAAGCTTAACCTAGTCTTATTTGTAGAGACATAGCTCACACTGTGATCATAGAGTTTGCAGAGATTGTGAACTTTTTTATCTTCATTAAAAGTGTGTATGCTAGAAAATAATCTGTGTAATAAATTATTCATAAAAGGCACTTTGGGGGGCATCTGTATGATTTTTTTAATTCAGAAGTTTTATTTGGTTTCAGTTAACCACATTTTTGCAACCCCAACCCCAAACACCTGGGCCAGTTTATTTTAGTGGTGTGATCCCCACTGAAGTGTTGAAATTTCAGTGTCTTTGGGCTACTCTAAGACAACACAGTGCCTGCGTGCCTAAAGTTAGCATGACACGCTCCATTTGAGATGCATTTGACAATCAAGTGAGCTTGTGTAAGCCAGAGTGTTGCAATCCCTAATCATCTTGCCAAAAATAAGTTAGCTGTTATGTTTTATAACATATGAAGTGTGATAATAAGAAACTTGTGTTTTCATCTCTTCTGTTATTTTTACTGGAATTTTTGACTCCCATAAGATTTCGAGGTCATATTTGTAGTTGAGTAGCTGGTTTATTTGGTATTATTTTGGTTCAGTTCATTTTAATATTTTTATAACTTATCATAGGCAACCTTGGTCTTAAATCATTTTAAGAGACTTATTGCATATTTGAGATATGTTGTCTGACCTATATTTTAATATGATGTTTATATTTTTTATTTGTTTCTTTAGGCAAGTTTGCCACAGACATATAGAATATTTTCAGTCATTTTGACATTGTTCAGAAAAGAGAATCTTAAAAGAAAATAGTTAATTGAAAACTATTGCATAAGTAGCTGTCATAATAATAAGCACAATTGTCTCTGGACTCATAGAATCGTGGAGCTGAAGTGGGCTTTAGAGACTATCTAGCCACATCTTTCATTTCATAGGTGAGAAGTGAGAGAAAGGTACCTTGCCAGGATTCAGCCTTGGCTCACTCTGAATCCTGGGGTGAGGTACACATACATTAGCTGTGGGTATAGAGACAGCCTAAGAAAATATCTCATGGCTCTCAATGATAGCAGCACGTGCTGATATGATGGTGTGCCTCTACAGTGCACATGAAGAGATTTATGTGACATGTTGTGTTGTAGCTTGAGGAGTATGAGGCCAGTAAAAGCTCTAGCAATTGAGAGAGAGAGGAGACTGATGACATGGAAATAAAAAAGTATTAGTCTTATCCTCACTATCAGGAATCTACTTTCTCTCATCCTCAGCCCTCTGTCTGTTAAAAATGTGACATCTGATTTTACCAATAAATCATTTGCATAAAATTCAAGATTGGGAGTTGCCTGGGCATTGCACTGAGTTGGGGGTAGACCTCAAGTAATTAAATTATTTTCCTCTAAGAATTATATATCATTTAATGATAACCATTCCTCTTCTTCCAGAGATAGCATGTACTTTGTAAACTTTAGTTTTTAAATTATTTGGCCTTCTTGAGGGAAAACGCACAATAACATAGAGCTTCTTTTGTCTGCCTGCTTAGCAAGTTATCTTCTGAGTGAAACTTCTGAATTGCTTAAACTGACTCCTTTAAGTGCAAGATTGTTTTGTCCAATTGTATAAAAATCTGTGTATGGGCTGGGGATATAGCTCAGTTGGTAGAGTGTTTGCCTCGCATGCATAAAGCCCTGGGTTCAGTCCCCAGCACCACACACACACACACACACACCAAAAAAAAAAAAAAAAAAAAAAAAAAAAACTGTTTAAAATATCACTCAGTCTTGTTTGTTGTTGTTGTTATTGTTTCTGTTGAGATCCCCCCAAATAAGTGTTTTGTAGTATTTTAGATACTCAAAATATACCACAACTGCAGCTGAGAAGCTTAAACAACTACTTAGAGGTAACATATATAGGTCGTGTGTATGTTATTTCAGGAGCCATCCTGTCTACATGGGTAAAAAACAAACCCACGTATTCTGCCAACAAGGAGACAATGGAGACTGGAGTGTGCTGGACTGCTCTGCTAACCTTCATGTCTGCAGTCGGAC